TTTGTCTTGCTTTTGCTCTTTCTCTTTTACTTTGTCTTGCTTTTGCTCTTTCTCTTTTACTTTGTCTTGCTTTTGCTCTTTCTTTTTTATTTTCTCTTTCTCTCTTTCCTCTTTCTCTTTTTTCTTCTCTTTTTTTCTCTTTCTGTCTTTCTCTTTCTCTCTTTCTTTCTCTTTCTCTCTTTCTTTCTCTTTCTCTCTTTCTTTCTCTTGCTCTCTTTTTTCTCTCTCTTTCTCTCTTTCTCTCTCTATTTCTCTCTTTCTCTCTCTCTTTCTCTCTCTCTCTCTGTTTCTCTCTCTCTGTTTCTCTCTCTATTTCTCTCTCTATTTCTCTCTCTCTCTCTCTCTCTCTCTCTCTCTCTCTCTCTCTCTCTCTCTCTCTCTCTCTCTCTCTCTCTCTCTCTCTCTCTCTCTCTCTCTGAGGTGTCGTAAGGGTTGGGGGTGAAGGCAGCGAGAGAGCAGTTATTTTGGCGCGGGGTTGGGGGGGGTGAGGGGATGGGGACAGTCAAGGGTGTGTGGGAGCTCTAGGAGGTTTTAAGGGGGTAAGGGGGGGGTATGGAGATGAGATGAGCGGGGGGGAGGGATGGGGTTTCAAGGGGGGTTTAATGGGAGGAAGGGGGAGGGATGGGTGTGAGGTGTAGGGTGTAGGGAATGGGGTAGGGGATAATGGGTGTGAGGAACCAACGCCTTCGTGGGGATATTTTGGTGCGGATTTGAGAGAGAGAGAAGAAAGAAAGATAAAAAAAAGTTAAGAAAAAAAGGAAAGGGGGAGAGAGAGAGAGAGAGAGAGAGAGAGAGAGAGAGAGAGAGAGAGAGAGAGAGAGAGAGAGAGAGAGAGAGAGAGAGAGAGAGAGAGAGAGAGAGAGAGAGAGAACTCTTTGTTTGCGATTCCGTGGGACTGCAATTCTTGCGCAACATCTTGTTCTCGTGAGAGTTGTGATGCCAAGTATCTATTTTTTATCACTTTAATTAAATTTTCAGCCAATTGCGTTTTATTTAGGCCAGATATTTTTTTTTTCTCTTTCTCTTTTTAAGTCTTGTGATATTCTTGATGTCATTATCTGTCTTGGCTTGTTGACAATGTATTGATTTTACGATTGCTATTAATAGAAAGACTTTTGTCATAATGAATGTGATTGTTGTTATCGTTATTATTGTCGTTCTAAGTCATTGTTATTATCGCCGTTGTTGTGTTCGTTGTCATCGAACGCTGTTGCAATTTACGGTTATTTTAAAGATCTTTGTCTATTTTTGCTGGAGACTATCGGTGTTGATTTCGCTAATCTCGTCTCTCTTTCTCCTGGATTCGAGAGGGAACCCCGGGGCGCCTTGGCAAAGCACGCCGCCGAGGTTATACGTCCATATATTTTTACCACGCACAGTTGCCTCCGATAAGCTCGCCCGACAGTGATAGTGATCGATAAGGTGACGAGGAGAACAACACGAAGGGGGCTTTGATAACGTTGCACAATCACGTGTTTAAGGGGAGGAGGAGGAGGAGGAGGAGGAGGAGGGGGGAGGAGGGGGGAGGGGGAGGAGGAGGAGGAGAAGGAGGAGGAGGAGAAGGAGGAGGAGAAGGAGGAGGAGGAGGAGGAGGAGGAGGAGGGGGAGGGGGGAGGAGGAGGAGGAGGGGGGAGGAGGAGGAGGAGAAGGAGAAGGAGAAGGAGAAGAAGCAGAAGCAGAAAGGGAGGAAGAGGAAAGAGAGAGAGAGAGAGAGACAGACAGAGAGAGAGAGCGCCGTCGTCGTGAAGCCGTTTACGTGGGTCACGCATGAGGCGCTATTGTGGCCAGCGTTGCGTACGGCGGGCGTGACTTGAGGGTTATGATTGTTCTTAATTTTTTTTGTTTATTTTTTTATGTCTTTGTTTCTTGTGCGTGTTTTTTTTTTTTGTAATAAAGGAGCTGGGGACGAACAGAAAGAGAGAGGTGATCGTAGCATTTTATTTGGGCTGAGGAGGCTGAGAAGACATGGCGATAGTGATAGTGATAAAGATAGTGAGTGATAGGGATAGACAAAGATAGAGAGAGATGAAGAAGGAAAAGGGTAAATAAGAGTGGAGAGAAAGAGAATAAATACCATGATGCATATGATGCATAAATATTATGATGCAACATAATTTTCTTCCTCCACTCCTAACCAGTGACTCACAAAGGACTGAATTAAAGGTCTCTCTCTCTCTCTCTCTCTCTCTCTCTCTCTCTCTCTCTCTCTCTCTCTCTCTCTCTCTCTCTCTCTCTCTCTCTCTCTCTTTCTCTTTCTCCTGCCTCCTTGCCTATCTGCTTGTCTGTCTGCCTGTTTACCTCCTTGTCTACCTGCCTGTCTATCTGCTGACTGCCTGCCTCCTTGTCTGTCTGCCTGCCTGCCTGCCTGCCTGCCTGCCTGCCTGCCTGCTTGCTTGCCTGTCTGGCTGCATGACGAGCCATGTGCAGGCATTGTCGCCGCGAGGAGGGCTCGGCGGCGATTGCTAAATATACACTCGCGGTAATGCAATGCGGGGCGAGCGGTGAGTGCGGTGTACCTGGCGGGGAGGAGGGAGGGAGGGAAGGAAGGGAGGGAGGAGGGAGGGTGGAGGGAGGGTGGAGGGAGGAAGGGAGGGAGGGAGGGTGGGTGGGAGGGTGGGAAGGAGGGGAGGAAGGGGGGAAAGATGGAAGGAAGGAAAGAGGGAGGGAACGAGAGATGGTGTGTGGTAGGGAGGGAAGGAAGGTAGGAAAGATTGAAGGAAGGAAGGAGGGAGGGAAGGAGGGAGGAAAGGAAAGAAGGAAGGAAGGAAGGAAGGTAGGAGGATGGAGGGAGGGAGGGTGGGTGGGTGGGTGGGTGGAAGGGAGGGAGGGAGCGTGGGTGGGTGGGTGGGTGGAAGGGAGGGAGGGAGGGAGGGAGGGAGGGTTGGAGGGAAGGAAAGAATGAATGAATGAATGAAGGAAGGAAGGAAGGAAGGAAGGCGGGAGGGAAGGAAGGACAGTGGGAAGGAGAGAGGGAGGGAATGAGAGTAGAATGGAGGGAGGAAGAGAAGGAGAGTGGAAAGGAGGAAAGGAGGGAAGGAGAGTAGAAAAGAGGGAGGGAGGGAGGGAAGGAGAATGGAAAAGAGGGGGGGAGGGAGAACTGATTATGTGTAAGTCATAATTACTGTGATAAAAACCCTTAATCTTAGCATTAAGGTGATTTGAATAGTCGTACTAGTACTGAATTTTATACTACTACCCGTAGCAGTAATTATGAAAGTGACGATCATCGTTAAAAGGGATAATACCAATGAAAGTGTAAAATTATACAACTAATAAAAGAAATATACAGTCCGGTAATGGTGTAGGTTTTGTCAACGTACTTTAATGGTATTAGTAATGATGGAACAGTGCTGGTAATTATATGGTGTGACGCTAATAATAAGAATAAAGATAATGGTGGTTATCATAAGACCTCGAAGGGAAGTTGGTGGCGTTATCGAAAGGAAATGAGTAAGGTAATCGTATGGAAATGAGTAACGTAGCGATAAGGAAATGAGTAACGTCCTCAGATTAATTTGCATTGTACAAGCGGTACAAATTAAAAAAAATAAATGCTACGGCCACATCTACGGTGATTATAAACATTAAAAAAACCCGTAAAAGTAATCTCGCTAAGGAAAGACAGAGGTACATACAAAAACATTAGGGGGGAAAGGGAGTAGGGGGGAGGGGGGGGAGTATGGGACTATGGGAGAGAGGGTGGGGAGTGGGTGAGGATTGGGAGTAGGGGGGAGTGTGTGGAGGGGGGTGAACACGTGGTGCGTATGTCGTACGATGAGCAGAAACGTCGTGACGTGGCGTAATTGGGTGGCGGGGAAGAGGAGGAGGGGGGGGGGTTGCGTCACCTTGCACGCCGCCTCCTCCGCTATCTCTTATCGCCCCTTTTCTTCTTTTTTTCCCCTCTCCTTCTCCCCTTTCCGACTCTCCTTTCGCCGTTTCTTTCTTTACTTTCACTTCTCCTTCCTCTTTTGTTTCTCCTACCTTCCCTCCCCTCCCTTTTCCCTCCTCCCCTCGTCTCACCTCCTCTCCTCTCCTCTCTTCCAGTCATATTACCCCTTCACCTTCACCCCCCACCCCTACTCCCACCCTACCCTACCCTACCCTACCCTACCCTACCCTACCCTACCCTACCCTACCCTACCCTACCCTACCCTACCCTACCCTACCCTTCCCTACCCTACCCTACCCTACATTGCCCTATCCAACCCTACCCTACTCTTCCCTACCCTATCCTACCCTACCCCACCCCACCCCACCCCTACCCCTACCCTTACCCTTACCCTTACCCTTACCACTACCCTACCCTACCCTACCCTACCCTACCCTACCCTACCCTACCCTACCCTACCCTACCCTACCCTACCCTACCCTACCCTACCCTACCCTACCCTACCCTACCCTACCCCCTCTAGAATTAACTGTGTGAAGTTTATAATTTTTTATTCTTATCTTTATTCTTTTTTTAACTGGTCGTGGATTGAAGATTTGTTGCAGAGAGGGGGTGGGATGTTTGGTCTGTGGATGTGCGTTGCTGCTTTGGAGGATGCTTGGTAAACATTCAACGAACTCGCATGCAGGCAAACTAGCACACGCTCTGACTCACATAAACATATATACGTGCGTGGTTTCTCGCTTACACGCACGCACACACGCACGCACACACACACACACACACACACACACACACACACACACACACACACACACACACACACACACACACACACACACACACACACACACACACACACAAGGAGAGACAAATAGGCAAACACGCAGAAAGAGAGGGAAAATGAAGGCAAGAAAGAGGGAAAGAAAGAAAGAAAAAAGGTGAAAGAGAGAAAGGGAGAGGGAGAGGGAGAGGGAGGGGGAGGGAGGAGGGGATAGGAATGCATAAAAACGGCATCTAAGCCCGTGCCAAAGTAAGGTGCGTGTTGGGGTCCGTGTGTATGTGTGTGCGTAGGGTGTGGTGGGCTCCGTGGAGGAGGCGGCAGTCAGTTGTGACGTGGTGGTGGTGTGGTGGCGAAGCGCTGCGCTCGCGGGCTCGGAATCGTGGTACTGTGCTGAGGCTGGTCGTCCCGGGGACTTCTGTTTCGCGTGCGAGGACGGAGGAGGAGAAGCGTCGCGGGCGTGCGGGTGCTATGTGAAGCGACGCCGCTGGCACGCGCCCCGTGTGCCCTCGGAACGCAGCGCCTCGCTCCCTACGGCCGCCCGTGGGTCTGTGAGTGGAGGCTCCGGGTGGGATTCCTGCCGCCTCTCCCCTCGGCGTGTGGTGCATCTCGCCCAGTGTGGCCTCGGCGGCTGTGTCATGTGGATCGGCGAGGAGTGGTGCGCACGTGGAGGCGAGGACCCAGATCGCTTGCATGATGGCTAGTGTGTGAAGTACTTGCTGCGCGGTGGCCAGCTGGCCTTCCTCGTGACAGCGCGAATCGCGAACTCGCAAGCATTGTGTGCAGTGGATGACAATTGTCGCGCCCTGCTGCATGGATCTAACAGTGCTAATTATTTGCGCGAGAACTAGTGCACAAACTGTACTCCGGTGCTCCTTCGCGTCGAAATTCGCATGAAGAAGGAGTGAGTCGTCACCACCGGAGCCGCGCTCGACAAACGTGACCCAGAGGAGTGCAGTCTCTTCCCCTTCACCATGGAGGACTCTGTAAGAGCTGTGTCACGCCCGTTGCAACTTCGTATCTCAACTGATCACATTTAGTACCATAAAGCATTATAGCCTACATAAGCATCAGAGGTTTCAGGTTTCCTTTAACATAGGATTCGTGGAGAAATGTTAGGCAGACGCTTTGGTGAGACTGTCTCTGCGCTTTATAAAACGAGTGTTGGCATGAACTTTTGATCGATCAGTCATGCCTAGTTGAGCCCTCCTCCACCTCTCCCTCCACCCTCCGGTGCATGGCTAAGGATGTTATGCATGGGGGCAGACAATGGGCGTATTAAGGAGAATGACTTGCTTGTTAAGGCCATGGTGTTCGCATTAGCGCCGAGGTCATACCTTGTTTCACGGGTAAATTTGTTGCCGCTATATTGCCGCGTAGGCAGATAATGGGGTCATGTGTAATACAGGCAATTTGTGGGTGCCACGGACTGACGTGGGGCGTCTATTGTGGCCCACGCTCTTTGTGGAATGATCTTTACTGTACAAGTAGACAATAGGGGCCTACACATCTTGTGGTACAAATTGTTTGCAGGGGCCGTTTGTGGTTCAGGCAGAGCATGTGGCGCATAGTTTCTGATTTGTGTTATGTACGTAAATTGGCCATATACTCTGCTCTGACAAATGCCTTGCATGTTGTGGAGGATGATAATGTATAAAATATGTTGTGTGTAATTTCGAGGGAATTGCGGACATCCCATGTTGTGTTCTTTAAAGTATGTGTACTCTGCTTTGGTACAGGCAGGCACAGTAGTCTTTGTGGTACAGTCAGTATGTATGTGCCATGGTGTGCATAGGTGCATTGCATTGAGTATGTTCAGTATTATATTTTAAAGGTAATTTGTGTATCATATTGTGGTGAGACAGGCAATTTGGACCGCGTTGTGGCCGAGGCAGGCAGTGTGTGTCATGTTGTTATTCAGGCACGCAGACGGTGGCGAGTTTTTTGCAGACACGCACAAGGTTCCGTCACGACACAGCCATGGGCTTCTTATTGATCCTTAGCAGCATGTTCTAAATTCTTTGGGGGTATTCCTGTGCAGGAGGCTAGGGATTATACCTTGATTATACCGTAATTGCGGACGAGCGTTTCGTTGTGACGTTTTCTCTTCGACCAGCAGCAGTTCATTTCGAAATTACTCCCCCCCCCTCCCCGTAAAAGTAAGTCACGATTATACCTAAAAAAAAAGGTTACTTTAGTCATAGGTTTCCCCCAATGACATCCCTCCTATCATAGGATACCCCCCCTCCTCCCCTGTGCCACAGTAATAGGTCCCCCCCTCCCCCCTAACCCCAATTATAGCTCCCACCCCACCCCCTTACCCTTCCCCATCCATTAGTTCTACCCCATCCCCCCCCCCCACGGTAATACCCCATCCCCGTACTCTCCCCTCTCTCACCTTCGCGCGGAATTCCCTGCGTTCGCGAGCCTCAGAATTTCCCTTTTGTTGACGAAAGGTCGAGTTCGGCAGACTCGGCGCGGCGCCACAACTCGATCGGAACGCCGCGGCCTCAGCGAGCCTCTGACATAATGGCGTCGCTCGGACACTTTCCCCCGCGAGAGAGACGCATTCGCACGCCTTTTTGTCGGAAGAATTTCCCCCGAGCGTCAGGGAAAAGGGGGGTGGGGGGAGATTTTTTCCCCTGTCTTCGCGTGGGTCACGTGGGGCGACCTTTGTGGATGGTGAGAGGAGGGGGGCGAGGTTCGGAAAGCCGTGTGTTTGTGTCTGTGTGTGACGTAATTCGATCTGTGGAATTCTAGGGCACGAAAGCTTGTTTCTCTCTAAACCAACGCACGCCCGCTCTACCGAGGGTAAGTGTTGAGTTGAGAGAGTGTGTGTGTGCATGAGCGAATGGTTTGATTGACGGATGGGTGAAAACGATTAATGAGTAAATGACTAAAGGCATGCATGAGGGAGCGAGGAATCAAAGGAAAGAGGTGCATAAGAGAATGAGAGATTCACTGTCATGAGATTTCTTGCAGGAAGTTTGTGGTTTTGTTTTTTGTAAATGCGGCAGTGTTCCTCGTTATTAACCTCGTTCTCACCAGCAACGAATAAGAATTATTTTGCATTGCCATGGAAGTTTAAAAAAAGAATCCTTTGTTGTACAAAGAGATTCCGCCCCAGGCAACTTCGAGAGGAGCTAAATATACCCGTTACTGCCTTTTCCGCTCGGACACACTGCCAGGCCTCCGCTGTTTAAAATTCGCAGTTGGACGCGGTTAGTCTGTTGGTTCGGCTGGTTGTCTTGCTGTTTTGTCCTTGTCTTTCTTTCTTTCTTTCTTCTTCTTCTACTTCTACTTTTTTTCTTCTACTTCTTTTCCTTCTACTACTTCTACTTCTTCTTCTACTTCTTCTTCTTTTACTACTTCTTCTTCTTCTTTTACTACTTCTTCTTCTTCTTCGTCTTCTTCTTCTTCTTCTTCTTCTTGTTTTTCTTCTTCTTCCTTTTCCTCTCCCTCTCCCTCTCCGTCTTCCTCTCCCTCTCCCTCTCCCTCTCCCTCTCCCTCCTGCTGCTCCTCCTCCTCCTCCTCGTCCTCGTCCTCGTCCTCCAGCATCTGCCAGATCTGGTCCAGACACCTACACCTGCTTCCCACCTGCCCCGTCCACCCAGCAACACCCCGGCCTGTTTCCCTGCCAACCCACCTGCCTCCCACACCTGCCCTCGCACGTGGCGCAGGCAGGGGCAGAAAGTGGAGGCGGGGGTGGGGGACGAAGGGGCAGGGGATGTTGGGGATGAGGCGGGAGGGGGTGGTGGGCGTGGGGATAGCGTTTACCTTGGCGACGTCGTGGGAGATACTCGTTTCTGAAGCATGATGGGAGCTGACGCCTTGTTTGCCCGCTTGTCCTGTTGCCCGCTTGCCCACTTGCCCATTTGCCCACTTGCCCACTTGCCCGCTTGTCTGCGATATGCAAGTGTTTGGCGGGGAAATCGGCCCTCCTCTCCTCTTCGGCGCTCGTACTGTCTCGTATCCGAGCGATGGGGGAGCGTTTTCCACCCCCGCGAGGAGAGCGCCCTCTGTAAATAGAACTCGCAGAAGCACCCCCTTTTATCTCTTGTTTATGGACCTTGGCACCCTTTTTACTCGAGACGTACGATGAACCTTTCTTCTTTTTTTAATTAGGTGTTTTTTTTCTTCTATTCTCGACGTATGTTGTGATACATTTGTTGTCTTTTTTTTTTACGTTTGATTTATTTATTTCTTGCGCTTCCCTTGAGGAGGGTTAAACGCGCTTCATTAAACCCCCGCCGGGTGTACCTTGTCCATTGTTGTGTCCGGACAATGCTTAGAGAAACAGATACTTATCCACGCGGCCGTTTTGGGGTTTGTTGTTATGCGGCGGGTGTGAGTCTGCCGCGCCGGATGCGAAGTTCCCCGCGGGTTGAGGGAAGGCTTTGCATGGGGGGGGTGCATGGTGGGGTTGCGTGGGGGAGGCGAGGGGGCTTCTTCGCTCTCTTTTGAGCTTATCGGGGGGGCGAGGGAAGTCCTTTTATTCTACTCCCGTTTCGAGTACGTAACGCGATAGGAATTTGGTAATGGGTGACGAGGAATGGGTTTAAGGATTGTGGGAAGTAATTAACGGGTGTTGGTTGGCGGGCTGACAAGAATCGGGTGACGGGTTGGGTGGCTGAGGAACGGATGACGGTGACGAGTGACCACGGAACGGGTGACGGTAATGAGTGACTGAGGAACGGGTGACGATAATGAGTGACTGAGGAACGGGTGACGATAATGAGTGACTGAGGAACGGGTGACGATAATGAGTGACTGAGGAACGGGTGACGATAATGAGTGACTGAGGAACGGCTGACTATAATGAGTGACTGAGGAACGGGTGACGGTGACGAGTGACCACGGAACGGGTGACGATAATGTGTGACTGAGGAACGGGTGACGGTGACGAGTGACCACGGAACGGGTGACGATAATGAGTGACTGAGGAACGGGTGACGGTGATAAGTGACGAGAAATGGGTGACGATGATGAGTGATGATAAACGGGTGACGGTGATGGGTGACGAAAAACGGGTGACGGTGATGAGCGATGAGAAACGGGTGACGGTGATAGGTGACGAAAAACGGGTGACGGTGATGAGTGACGAAAACGGGTGACGGTGATGGGTGACGGACTGAGGAGAGCAACCCTTTCTTCCACCCACGGTTCGGGGACTCGTGCTTAGCGTTACGTGTCTGCGCCTGTGGTTTCTTCGGAGTTGAATGTCCTTCGTCTTGTTACATTCCTTGGCGTGTGTTGTGTGTCCTTTCGTCTTCATTGGCTCGTTTATTATGATTTTTTTTATTGTCCTTGTTATTTTTTTTCGCCCTGTCTCTTCCTCGATGCTTGTTGGGGAAGATACTGTGCCTGTCTGTCCGATTTTCTGCTGGTTTATCTCGTTCTTTCCTATTTCTCCCGACTCTGTTTTGGTAACCTTTCGGCTGCTGGTCTTCTGATCTCCATCCTTGCCTTTGTCTGGATATGCGTCGTATGGGAATTGTGGGGAAAGAGGAGAGAGAGAGAGAGAGAGAGAGAGAGAGAGAGAGAGAGAGAGAGAGAGAGAGAGAGAGAGAGAGAGAGAGAGAGAGAGAGAGAAAGAGAGAGGGTGAAAGAGAGAGAAAAAGAGAGAGAGAGAGAAGGAGGGGTGAAGAGAAAGTGATAGTAGGAAAAGAAGAGAGGAGGAGGTGGAGGAAGGGAAAACTAGGAAGGTCAGGAGAGGAGAAATAAGAAAAGGTGGATGCAAGTATATAGTATATAAAAAAAAAAGTATATAAGCTTCTTAGTGACTTCTTTTGGCTGTTCGCTCCTCTTCTCGTCTATACTTTTCCCCAAAATTTACTTTGTCCACTTTTTTTCTCCCTTCACATTATCATCTCTCTTTTTTCTTCATATTTTGTCTTCTTTCCGTGCATTTTTTTTCTTCCATACCAATTCTTTGTTATCCATATTGTTGTCATATATTGCGATTACCGCAGATTTTTAAAAAATGATTATTGTTGCTACCATAATTATCAACCATACTTATATATTGTCGATATTGTTGATGCGTCATTTCTTGCTATTACATTTGATGATATCACTATTTGCAACTTTATAACATGCTTTGACACTGACGACATTACCACATGTGTTATTATCAGTGTTGGTGTTATCCTTCACCCTACTGTTGTAACTAACCCCCCCCCCCCCACCACACCCCACCCCACCCCACCTCACCCACATTTCCATACCCACTTCCCACACGCCTCTCCATCTTCTCCACCCCACTCACACCCCTACACAACCTATTTATACCACCCATACCCGGCCACATTTACAGTCATACACATCCATATTCACACACATACACATTCACACACATACACATTAACATACATACACATTCACACACATACACATTAACATACATACGCATTCACACACATACACATTAACATACATACACATTCACACACATACACATTAACATACATACGCATTCACACACATACACATTCACACATACACATTCACACATACACATTCACACACATACACATTAACATACATACGCATTCACACACATACACATTAACATACATACACATTCACACATACACATTCACACATACACATTCACACACATACACATTAACATACATACACATTCACACATACACATTCACACATACACATTCACACACATACACATTAACATACATACGCATTCACACACATACACATTAACATACATACGCATTCACACACATACACATTAACATACATACGCATTCACACACATACACATTAACATACATACACATTCACACACATACACATTAACATACATACGCATTCACACACATACACATTAACATACATACGCATTCACACACATACACATTAACATACATACGCATTCACACACATACACATTAACATACATACGCATTCACACACATACACATTAACATACATACACATTCACACACATACACATTAACATACATACGCATTCACACACATACACATTAACATACATACGCATTCACACACATACACATTCACACATACACATTCACACATACACATTCACACATACACATTCACACATACACATTCACACATACACATTCACACACATACACATTAACATACATACACATTCACACATACACATTCACACATACACATTCACACATACACATTCACACATACACATTCACACACATACACATTAACATACATACACATTCACACACATACACATTCACACATATACACATTCACACACATACACATTAACATACATACACATTCACACACATACACATTAACATACATTAAAATTTAGTCACATTTAGTCAGACATCCACAATAACACATACACCTTCACAAAAACACATACACATTCACACACATACACATTAACATACATACGCATTCACACACATACATATTCACACACATACACATTAACATACATACACATTCACACACATACACATTAACATACATACGCATTCACACACATACACATTCACACACATACACATTAACATACATACGCATTCACACACATACACATTCACACACATACACATTAACATACATACACATTCACACACATGCACATTCACACACATACACATTCACACACATACACATTCACACACATACACATTCACACACATACACATTCACACGCATACACATTCACACACATACACATTCACACATATACACATTCACACACATACACATTAACATACATACACATTCACACACATACACATTAACATACATACGCATTCACACACATACACATTCACACACATACACATTAACATACATACACATTCACACACATGCACATTAACGTACATACACATTCATACTTAAAATTTAGTCACATTTAGTCAGACATCCACAATAACACATACACCTTCACAAAAACACATACACATTCACACATACACATTCGCACATATATTTACACGTACATTCACACACACCCACACTCGCACGTCTACATTCACACACACCCACATTCATATACACTCTTACATACAGCTACCACACACGCATCCACAACCACACCCAGACTTAACCACGAACAGCTAGGCTACACCCACGTCCACAGTCACTTGTAAACCCACACAACCACACCCGTAGCCAATTTCACAATCCCTCTTCCACTCGCACCCTTCCTCTTGATCCACACGCACCTCTCCACCTGATCCACGCCTCCCTCCACCCACACTCCTCTCCACTCCACCCACACCCCTCTCCACCTCACCTACGCCACCCTCTCCACCCACTCCACCCACACTCCTCTCCACTCCACCCACACTCCTCTCCACTCCACCCACACTCCTCTCCACTCCACCCTCACCCTCTCCACTTCACTCACACCCCTCTCCACCTCACCCACGCCACCCTCTCCACCCACACCGCCCACGCCCCTCTCCACCCACACCGCCCACGCCCCTCTCCACCCACACCGCCCCCACCCACAAAACAGACACGCATGACGCAAACAAGAGACACAGCAATCACCGCTTACTTAAATCTCTGACGACTGCCGTGCACCTAACCTTATTTTCCCCACTTTCCATTTGTGTCGTTCAATAGGTCGTGTTTCCCCCCTTCGGCAGATGATGGCGGACGTGGACCCGGAGACGCTGCTGGAGTGGCTGCAGATGGGGCAGGGCGAGGAGCGCGACATGCAGCTCATCGCCCTCGAGCAGCTGTGCATGTTGCTGCTCATGTCCGATAACGTCGACAGGTGCTTTGAAAG